CCCATAACCGCGTGGATGGAATGGTTGTACCCAGTTATTGCTTAGGGCATTGCCACTTACGGTTCCAGGCCCTTATCTGTGTGATACAGACGCAAATGATCTCCCAGCGTACTGTGCAGTCTTTTAACCCCCCCCTTTACTCTTGGGGTGCCCAAGCGTGTTCAGATGTCACTGTATATCCAGGTCCTTCATCTCTGCTCTGATTCTGATATTATCGAATTCTGTCCTTTATCTGAAGAGATTCGATCTGGTATTCCGTAAAACTGGAACCATCTACGTAGTGCTCCGAGTACTAATTCAGCCTCTCGCTCCTGTACCGGGTATTGCCATGACATTTTTTGTTCTTTAACGTCTCTACCATGAGGTTACACCGCACGAATGTCCGATCGATCCCAATTTTTTCGGTACGCCACAATCGTTTAATCTTTTATTTAATATAGACGCATTACCTACGTACAGATTTTGGGTTTTTCCGGGTTCGGAAGAATCTTCCAGTACACTGCAGATCTGCTCTTCTCTTACCCCAGGTTGGGAACATACCGTAATTTACCATAATCCATCTTCATCGGTCCTGACGTCTTGGTCTTCCAAATAATTTGAAATATCTTGTCGTTGAAAATCTCCTCTCTCACTTTCATGTCAGCTAGTCTATCTTCCCCAGAGCTCTCTTTCCCCGTTAGTTCCCAGTCGTCTTCTGTATCCACCGTCCCTCGTTTATCTTCTCCTTCTGGCATCTATTCTCTTAAAAATTGTTGTACTTCGCCGGAATATTCTCCCTTGTTCTGTTTTATTGTATTGTCTGCATCGCCCGCGATAGCCAATCTGCTACAATGTTTTCCTTTCCAAGTTTGTAAGCTATCTTCGTACTAAATTGGTTGAGAAACAACTTCCACCGGGTAACTCTCGCTGATGATTCTTTTAGTTTCCCTACCCACAAAAATGGTCTATGAACCGTGTGTACCTTGAACTTCTGCCCAAAAACATACTGCCTGAAGAGCTCTATAGCCCACACTATACCCAACAATTCGCATTCTGAAGCGCTATATAGCGTTTCTGTTTCTGTGAGACGTTTACGCCACTGGCCTTCCTCCCTCACCCCCTTCCTATAAAAGTACGCCCCCAGTGCGTAATCACTGGCGTCTGTGGTAATAGTGAATTGCGTTGTAAAGTCGGGAAACGCTAGTACAGGGTCATCCTGCAATCATGCCATACATTTACGGATATTGTCCTCTATAATGGGAGTAATCATTATTTTTCATCCTTTCTTCAGGAGATCGTTAGGCAGCACTAAATATGACATCTCCGGAACGAACCTCCGATAATAGTTCAATGTCTCGAGTAACCAACGTATCCTTTTTACATCTCTCGGAATTGCCAACTTTCGGATTGCTTCCACCTTTTGTATGTCAGGTTTAACCCCTTTCATGGACATTGTATGGCCTAAAAAATAGATTTGTCCCTGTCCGAAAATTGTTTTTTTTATAGACAGCTTCAATCCAAATTGTTCCAGTAGGTTCAAAGACGTTTTTTTAGATTTTCTACGTGTTGAGCCTCATTTTCGTCCATCTATATCTGGCAGTATGGCAAACCTATTCCTCGTAGGAACTCATCCATGATCCTCTAGAAGGTAATGGGCACATCCTTTAATCTGAATGGCATCCTCGTAAACTCGAAGTGACCTCTCTCGAACGTAAATGCCGTTTTGTGCTGGTCCTTGGGATGCATTCTTATCTGGTGGTATCCGACCTTCAGATCCAGCACCGTGCACTAAACACCGTCGCTCCGCCTAACCAATCTAATATATCTTCGAACCTTAGTATCAGTTCATCATCAAAATTCAAAATTATTTTTTTCTATTCTATCAGGATATTTCTCGTCCAAGGTATTTTCATTTAATTTCCTATAGTCCTTCCACCTTCAGCTTTTCGGTTCTCTGGTTCACTTACATCTTCCTCGGCTTCTGAATCTTCAGTAGATTCAGCCGAATCGGGTGGTGGCCTGGTCCACCTCCTTACTCTCTGAGCGTTAATTTCCGGGGTTGAATTTAATTTAATGGGTTACAGTCGGTTGATTTCTTTGCGCCTGCTCATTTAGGGGCACTGTCTTGGTGCCATGTGGTTCCACATTCGGAACATCTTGTACGTGGGCACTGTGCAACTAAATGTCCCGTCTTCTCGCACCCATAGCACCTCCTTCTCTTCTTTCTTCCAATTCTATCTTTTCTTCCCTTGTCTTCTTTCCATCTGTATCGCTCTCTCACGTCCGCCAACTTCAGTTTTTCTTCTCCTCCACGCAATGGACTTGGTCGTGGTCCTTCTGTAGTTCACCCTGCTCCATCCCATCTCTTCTTCCTCTACGTTACTGGCTTCTACCTCAAATTCGGCTATGGTTTTCCTCATCTTTTCTGTTAATTTATTTCATAGGGGGGCTAGCTTCATGCCCGTATATTGCCCGTTTGTCTTGTGGGGCTGTCTCTTTTCTCGAAACATCTGTAATATATTCCCCTTCGTGGACCACCGGCCGCCTCCGAACTCCTTCTTCAACCGAGCGCTGGGACGTTCTTTCACAACGTCCCACGGCGTTTACTCATGAATTCGCTAAACATCTATCCAATTCACTTACTCTCCTTTCCGAACTCCATACCACCAACACTACAGAAAATAAAGAATTCCATTTTTTGCCGATTCCCCTCTCCTTGCCTCCTGAAGCTGAATGGAAAATTTTACTGTCCCCTACAGTTCTAGTCCCGTGGGTACAATAGTTTTTCGAATAACATAGAACATACTGGAAACAAACTAATGGGTCGATATGAAGAAGGATTGTTATTGTCTTTGTCTGGCTTTTTAATCATAGTTATGTGTGAGTAATTTCCACTGTATTGGAAATTTGGTGGTCCTGAGAATGCAATTGAAGATTGTGGTAAGAAACACTAGAGCTTTCCTTGGCATTTGCTGGAGCGCCTCAACAGTTATCAAGTCATGACCAGAGGTTTTTCTATTGGGCAATTGTCTAATTTCTTGTGATGGTGTGAAAGGAGGTGGTGGTAGTGTGAGCTGTAACGGTATGTCTAAGTTATTATCCACAAAAATATCATGTTCTGTATTAATTAAGTCTGTATGTGGTTTAAAAACAGCGGAATGGGGGCTAGCAAAGAGTTCAGATCTTTCCTCGTCCGAAACAGCCCAAGAACCATCCTCTCTTCGTAGGGGTGCTTCGTAGGGATGCTACCTCATGATACTTTAAAAGATTCCTTGTATATCTCCATACACTTCCATCGTCCGTCGAAAGGTTGTTAATAAAATTGTCGTAGTTTGTGCTTTTGAATTTTTGAATATGTCTTTTAAGTTCGTTTTTCAATCTGTTAAAAGGAAGTCTATTAGTCTGCCATACTTAACGTGCTCTTCTCTTTGCTCTAATCAAGTACCTTATGTACATAGGATAATGGGGCAAGTTCGCTGCTTTTTGTGGCCTGGATGTTGATGAGGCCCATACTGCATCTTGTATGCTTTTTGTGAATCTTTCAACAGATTCTTCATGATTTTTAATTGAACCTGGAACAGAAAGATTGGTGTTCAAATGGTCTCTATATGCGTGTGAAATATTTTTACATTTAACTTCTTCTTTCACACAGGTACAATGAAATAGTTTTGTAGCCTGACTGAGTAGGATAAAGTTGTCAGGAATATGGAGAGAAGACAACTCTCCTTTGAGTTGAAATGAATTATTAATGTCATAAGGATTATTGTGACTAAGTTTTTGGGGAGAGGGTAAAAGAAAGTTGCTGAGTTTAGCTGAGGGGGTGTTTATATTGGAGATGAAAATGCGGAGGGGATTTCCAGGTTTGTGAATTTTCGGGAGTCCATATAAGCGGGGTACTAAGGAGTTGTAGGATATGAGGTTGTAGTAAGTGGGACGGTTAATTTGTTTCCTCAAGGCGAGGAAGAGGAGGACAAATAATAATAAAAATAAAAAAAAAAAAGGTTTATTTGTTTCGTCTCAAGTACGTTTTAATGTGTTGATTGAATTTTAACATTAGTGTACGGGTTGGGTCACGGGAGGAGGGTGCGTAAGTTATTTGGTCTAAAGGTAGTCGTTACTTATACAACTTATTGTTCTTAATATTTTAATGTACTTTAAGTTTATAATTTTAATAAGTTTATTCACATTGCTTATGTTTTCATCTAAACGTGATGTAACTTCCACAATTCTCTATATCTTTTTGTATCTATTATATTTATGGCCTCTTCTTTTTATATTTGTATTTTACTTCTATGTACGGTTTACTTCTTTCATTTTTGTTTTTATTCACATCGTACTTCTATCTATAATTTCTTCAAATTTTAGATACTGCAAATATTCCAGATTTTGTTTTACTTTTACTACTTACCCCCTCACCATTCTTCAACTAGGTCGGCAAATTTCCCCAATACTTACCGATACTTGCTGAACACACCTGTAAGTCTCTATTTCTTTTCTTCTAATTTTATTTACTTATTTATTTATTTTTTGTTTTTCTTCTTTTTCTTCACATCCCTTTAAGGCCCAATATTTCATTTCGTATCCTTTTTACTTTTCTTCCAATCTTTACTGTAGATATGTAGGAGTGTATTCACAATTTCATATATTATACTACAACAATTGTTACCATCTATTTACTTCAGTTTAGGATCTTGTTATTTAGCTTACTCTGTTTAACAACCTATTGTTCTTAATATTTTAATGTACTTACGGTTTATATTTTTTATGAGTTTATTCACACTGTTTATAATTTTTTATCTAAATGTGATGTAACTTCCACAATTCCCCATATCTTTTTGTATTTTGTCCGTTCTAGGGCTGAAGAAGACCTGCAAAGTCGGGTCGAAACGTTGGCTTTTAATAAAATAGTTTAGCCACTATTAAGTCAATGTATGACCGCCACCCCGGACCATCTCCTTCCTTAATAAATAAAAATGTTTTCATACACAACATTTATTAAACTATTTTTATTTATTTTTTAGAGATTGAGGACAAAATTAGAAAGAGCAGAATTATGTGAAAAAAGATTAAGTGAAGAACTTAAGGAAGATAAAAAAACAAGTGAAAGAATTCAGGTTGTAATTGAATCAAACAAAATTGAACCAAAAATAAAATCAATGGTCACTGAAGAAGCAATAAAAGTAACTGATTCTCCAAGTGATTTAGATGAAATTAGCTCCAGTAAGTTCTTTGAAGTAACCAGAGATGTGGAAGGAATTAATCCTGCCACAGAATCTGCGGATGAAAGTCAATCAGATAATGACATTGTGAAGGTAATTAATTTAATAACTAAATGATATATTACTTTTTTACTTTCACTTACCAATATATGTAGTATATAGTAAGGGTAAGTATTGCGATCGTGAAAATTTGAGTCTGAGTTTTGAACGAAAATACTCGTTTTGAGGTACCCTGAGTCCAAATAACCAAGTCCCGAAAAATGGTCTGTGTGTATGTGAACATTCTATCTCGAAAATAAAAAAGTCGTACGAAAATGATATTACGTATTTAAGATCGGCTAACCGGAAGTGCAACTTTATATCGAACACAAAGTTTACAATTTTTTCAAAAACGGCACTAACGTTTTTGATTAAACTCGGTGTATCATTGTATAATTAAGTGGTCTTTAATACCATTTAAGTCTTATCCCCGTTGAAGCCACTTTACGGAGCTTAAATGCCCATTGTTCATACGTGTCTTCTTCTAAAGTACCGTTAATAGGGTTCATTTCAAATAATTAACTATCTTTCATTATTAAAAGTTACGAAAAATTGCTAAATATAACTTTTGAAAGAATTTGGTATTTGAATAAATGAGAAAAAAATAAAAATGTTTACCCAGGTCGAAAATGAATCTTAGGAAATAACAGTCAGGAGGTAAACGTATAATATATCGTTGGAAAGCGGAGAATTTTAGAAAAAACAATATCTAATGCAGAAAGTTGTAGAAGGTAACGGAGAGTGGCGAAAAAATTATAAATAATAAGTTTTTAAAACTACTAATATTTAAGGTAAATCGCATGTTTTCGGAGTGGCCGAATGGGCTAAAACGTGAGCACAGTTCCCGAGTTCCCGGCAACCGGATAACAGATTTGAGAAGATGAAAAAAAAGTTTCGAGTTCGCGTCCCGGTGCCGGAGGGGATTTTAAATTCCCTGTCCTCACCCTCCGGCCCGGGAAAATCCCGTATAGCCTAAAAGGCGAGGTATGGAAGAACAAAAAAAAAGTACCAAGAAATATAAATGAAAAGAAATATAAATAACAAGACACTTTCACTTAATACACTACTTACTACTTAACACACCAGGTTATGTGATGTAACATAAGATAAGAAGGTGACGTAAGATAAGATAAGAAGGGAGATTTACCAGAGACCACGTTGTTCACAAGTACCCCTTGTATTTCGTAATTTCATAATTATTAAGCCAACCACGTTTTATGTTTTGAATAAAAAGCGATAGTCAAAAAGATGTTTTATTTAGGTTACAACCAATTACTTCAAAGTAAACTAAATTAAATTTACATTAAATGCAAGCAAATCTTGTCTTTTTTAAAACCATATAAAGGGGACTTTTAAGCAGTTAAATTACGGTAAGTTCCGGTTTTCATAAAATTAAGTGTTCTTCGCGATTTATTTTGTAACCCTCCAACTGGACAGAAGATACAATATTTACGATTTATTTTATAACCACCCCAGCTGGACAGAAGATACAATATTTACGTTCATTGCGTGATATCAGGAAACAAATGAGGCAGGCTGTGTTGATAAAGTTAAGTCATAAATGCACAAAACAGCTTTATGCCTCTGCATACACATCACTCTATCAGGAGCAAAGGACTATTACTGTCTTGGTAACCTCACCTAAGCCAACCTGCCTTTGTTTACAGCAGATTAGCAGTGCTGCCTTATAATGTGCATTAACTCTACACACTCCCACCTTTACAATTTATGCTTTAAATTATAAACTGATTTAAAATAGCAAAACAAAATTTAAAATATTCGGTACAAAAATTTACAGGTTAAATCTTTAATTTAATAACGCTTAATAAACTACTTCAACAAATGTGTTATGCTCCTTTTTTTAGTTCTCATAAGATCACTGGCTAATAACATTCCGAGATACACTACTCTTCTTAGATGTGTTTTTTTTTTTTCTTCTCTTCCAGTTTTGGAAAACTTCTTTAGAGAACAATGAAGAATTAATCGTGACACCAGTTGTTACTTGTATTCCTCTCCTTGTACTTTTCTTACTAAGATCTCGTTCTGAAGGGGATCTTTGGCTGAAGACAGACCTGATATTATATCTTGTGATGCTCTTGGGAAGACTGTTTCGAGATGCAGGCGTGACAGATATTTTTACTGCAGGGGTTAATACAATGTGTGGAATTACGGTTTTAACTGGTACCGATCCGGTCTTCTTGGTAGTGCCATCATCTAGTCGACTCCTTAGTAAACTATTGTAATGGGCCCAAGAGACTCCAGGTTGCCCTGAATGGTGAGACTTACTTGCACTAAAGAGTCGAATCGTAAAGAACTTCCTCTCGTTTGTGTTCTTGGCATAGGACAGGTCTGCGATTTAGTTTTCCCAATAACTGTCCAACCTAACCTAGTTTCTGTGGTTATCAAATTTTCAGTTATTGGTGCTAACTCTACAGTATTTTTATAAAAAGCACGCTCTTCCCTTCCTAAAATATAACATAACATATATAACTATATAACATACTTCAACGAAAAGAAGCTGGAAAAAAGTTACGAGGGGTGGTAAAATCAGATTCCAAATAACTCAAAAACTACACACTTTTTTGTTGATATTGTGATTAAATGTTTCAAAGGTTTTTATATTTCCTAAAAAAGGAAGAAAGTTTCACCGAAATCAAAGCACTATTAGTAAAGATATCGCGATTTTAAAATATTTTTGGTTTATTATTTTCAATAATGAACCAGTGCAATTAACCAAAAAATTCAATAACTTAACCCCCCTTCAAAATTTGAAGTTTTACGCTTCAGGACAGTAGAATACGAAAATCGAATAGAAATTTTTCGTCCGTCCGGCGTACGCCGTTTTTGGTTATTTAAAAGTTTACGAATTTTCCTTTAAAATCGGATAATTTGGAGCAAAGATATGGTCTCTAGATATTTTTTGTATGTTCTACTGCAAAGCAAATAACTAATGATGGAGAAAAAGTTGTTTAGGCCAATAATATAAATCATCATTTATTTCTTTTTCTTAGTTACTAGGAAGGTAATGTTACTTTACATGTATAATTGTTTGAAAATAATAAACCATTGTGAAATTGCAGCATTTTTTTTTTACTTAACAATCCACGAATCTGTTAAAGTAGATATGCAATTATATTCGGTCTTTAGGTGTGATAAGGATTTTTCCTTAGAATGTTTTTAATTTTTTGAAAACTGTTTTGGTTTTAATTATTTAAAAAAAAAATAATTATTGATGTAATTAATAGCTATTTAATATTACAATATGGTTACATATTTCAATAAATTTATCTCAGACTTCTCATATTTAGCTCTCGCTTTTTCGATTGACAATGAGAATTAAGTCAAATACGACTGAATAAAAATTGGGCACCGTATTAAAAATAACAGATATTATCTTGATTTTATTAAAGGTTATATTTTCAGGAAGAATACGTAAACATTTTTTTAATATATGAAATGGATCAAATATCCATAAAAAATAATAATAAAAAAACCAGACCGTTAAAGTCTAAAAACCTAGTATATTTAAAAAATGAAGGACATTTCAATAACATAAGTTTGGGAAAATTTGTCTGATCGATCACATTAAAAAATTATTGATTTATTAGTTTTATGGTTAATCACTATTGTCAGTTTAGTGTTTTTTAGCCTTTTTTTTATAAGAATGGAATTTAATTTAAGATGATTTAAACGGAAATCCGTGAGTGGTACGGCAGCAGTAGTGGAAAACATTCACATTTTTTTATAAGGATAATGACAACTTTAAATGTATTATTACTCAGTTTTTATTCGACTAAATTTTTATTCGAATAATTTTTCAACTGATTGAAATTTTGCTCGTATATAAACGACTAAAACTTCATTTGGATAAAATTTTAATCCTTTTTAACATATGTTTATTCGTGGTAAAAATCTAGTCGTTTTTTTAGTCGAATAAATGATCATTCGACTAACACCCAACCTTGGTTATAATTATATTTCTGGAACGGCAATAATAAGATTAAATAAGTTAAGAGTTTTAACAGTTCAAAATATTTTTCCAGGTCAACTCGTTGAAAAATGATTTGAAAGTTATTTTTATCCAACGGTGTGGAGTATTACATACCTGGAAGGAGCAACTTAATCCGCAAATGATTTGACCATGGCCTTAATAATAGTTTCAAAAACGTTGAAGTCTGCCCATTTCACCTCAGGATCAAATAATAAATTATTGAATTAATATTTTCATTAATCAAATAATAAAATCTTTTCTATAATCTATGTGTTATCTATATGTTATTTATATATTATTTTATGCCGTTTCCAATGTCAGTTTTAATTTTTTTGTTTATTTATATATTTCCATTATCGCTCAGTATTGGGAAACATTGTGAAGAGATCAATGAAATATCTGAGAATATAAGGCGGAGGTCTCCAAAGTTTTTGTTCCGCGGGCCACATAGAGAACTCAACTAAGACTTGCGGGTGTCATTGAGACATCCAATAAGAACCGCGGGCCTTGATTGTGATGCTGCATGGATTGTGGTGAACAGAAAAAAATACTTTCTATAAAAGACACTTCCGTTGTGATATGAGTTTTCTATGAAAAAAAACAAACATGCAATAAATGTTGTAGTACCTTGTGTGTGGGTGATTTACTATATTTTATATTTCTATATTAATTTAATAGTTTTTAAAATTTTGCCACTAAACCAAAGCTTTCGCAGGCTGTAGTTTGGAGACCCCTGATATAAGGCAATAAAATGTAATAAACCATCTAAGCATGCACAGGAAATGTGATCGTGTGCTCAGATGTATATATGCGTACCCGTTGCCTTCCATACGAAAATTTAAATTAAAGTTGCGAAATTTGACGTTTCATTTAACGGTAGAACTGACGGCTTAAATTTGGATATGATGTAAAGAATATTTCCCTATAAGAGAATTCACCTCGACTGACGATGTAATCAGTTGGATTTTGAAAACTGACGACGGACGTCAAAGATATCAAACTAGTGCAGTTGAATGGTACTTAAATGTAATAATAATAATAATAAGGCTTAGCGACCCGAAGGTTCGATTGCCGATCACCTCCAATCGCTTGTTACACACCTCCCTCCCCGTTCTGCCGTCCAAACCAGTCCCTTCAGATCGGCTTTAATGCAATCTTCCCATCTTCGCTTCGGTCTACCCCTAGGACGCTTACCATTCGGAACAGCAAATTTAACCTTTTAGGATTTCTCGCGTTACTAGGCCAACAACTTTTACAAGCCCATTTGATTCGCCGCGATGAAAATTACGTCAATTTATATTACCCGGATACATCTCACGCAATTCGGCGTTGTGTAAACCGTCTGAACTCTCCGGTTACTCATCCTTTTTCGGTTCCGAATATTTCTACGCAATACTTTATTTTCAAAAACCTTAAAGACGCTGTCATCCCTTAATGTAGCGGCAAGTTTCGCATCATAAAGAACTGTAGGCAGATAATTGTTTTATAGATTCTAATTTTTAAGTTTCGGGACAAGAGGCGCAACAAATTGCATTTAGGGGATTCATGGCGCAAGTTGAAGTATAGGGATTTAAATATTGGTACGTGGAACGGTAAGGAGTTTAAACAGCAGGGGGGCTTAAAAATTCGGTCGCGAATGAGGTAAATGGGTCAATTTGGATGGTCGTGGCTCTGCAGAGGTTCGCTGGCCAGGGGAGGGCTCGATGAGGGAAGGGGAAGTACCACTATTTGGTACGGAGGAAGCGGAATCATTGTTTAGGTACCGGTTTCTAATTAGGGTAAGATTATATCCGCTTTGGGGACGTAAATTCCTTTTAGTGACAGATGTCGGTAGTACATTTCAGGGACGTGGTTTAAAATCGCCATTAAAAACATACATTGTCCGACCGAAGACAGTGATGATGAAGTTCAAAGTGGAATTTGTACGATAAACTCGAAGGGTTTATGATAAACTTACCACGAACTACTTAAATGTAAACAAAATTCAAATACTCTTTCTTCTGTATATGTTTTTTAGGATGTTAAATCTGAATTCGAAGTTTCAAAACTAAATTTTACATTGCGTTCCGGAATGTATGCAAAAAACAGCAAAACTTTCGCACTGTTTTTAGTTTTTTCAGCCATCTCTCCGAAAATATGAATTTTATTGAAATTGCTACTCTGTACAAAGTTCAATAACTTTTTAACCTATAAGTAAGGAGTTATAGGAAGTTCACTGCTTATTTCACAAAAAATGGCTGATATCGTCGTTGTTTTCCTCCAAACTCATAATCTACGCATCTCTCAAAGAAATCCATTATAATCATTTTGAAAAAGCATTGCATTTCCTATATACCTCATATAGATACGTTACTATGTGAGAAGGTAGAAAGCTGCTGTTAAAGCGAACGGAATTGGCGTATTTCAGTCGAAGCATCTGCCGCAATCAAATTAATCTCAAAATGCGCTCCAAAGTTTGAGCACCCTAATGGCTTTTCATTGTATCGTTTAGTACAATAAAAAAAAAGTGAAGAGCTTAATTTAAGTACGACTGAAATAAGCCTTCAATTTCGTATGCTTGACCACATCCACAACCACCCCACTTAGCTTCTCAGGTAATAACGTATCCATATATGGTATATGGGAAATGTCATGCTCTTTCAAAATAATTATAATGAATTTCTTCGAGAGATGCTAGATTATGAGATGGGGGGAAACAATGACGAAAACAGCTATTTTTTGTGAATTAAGCAGTCAACTTCCTCTAACTCTTCACTTGTTGGTCATATAACATTAAAAAGTAAATGATAAAATCTATAGGAGATTTTATGTCCTTTAACTTTGTATAGAGTTTACAATTTCGATCAAATTCATAGTTTCGGAATCATGGCTACAAAAACAAAAAAAAAGAGCGGAAATTTCGGTGTTTTTGCCATATATGTCAGAACACAATGGAAAATTTAGTTTTTAAACTTCGAAATCAAATTTAACATCCTAAAGACATATAAAACAGAAGTGAAACCGGAAGAGAAACAATTTGACTTTTTTCCACGTTCAACTGGAGTCCAGTTACTGTCCAGTTAGTCCAGTCAACTACAGTCCAATTAGTCCAGTTACTGGACTAATTTGATATATTTGATGCCGTCAGTTTTCAAAAAGCAACCGAGTACATCGTCAGTCAAGGTGAATTCTCTTTTAGGGAAATATTCTTTCCATCGTATCAAAATTTCAGCCTTCAGTTCTACCTTAAATGAAACGTCTATTTTCGCCACTTTTATTTAAATTTCAGTATGGAAAGCAATGGCTTTCCACCGACTGACAGAAGTTGTGTTCTCAGATGAGGTTTATCTAAAATTAAAATGGTTACTGACTGTAAATCCTTCAGTTAAATTAAATGAGCGGTAGCTTCTAGTCTACCTATCCAGTCGGAGGAGTTCGCGATGGAATTCATCTTTGAGATCGTGATTTTTATTTTAAAAAATAACATATCTCCACCATTTTTAAGAAAATATTAAAAAACAATTTTATGAACATTCCACTTGCTTGAGACAACAAAAAACATAAGAAATATTGTTTTCTATATGTCAATAGTTTCAAAGTTAAGAAGGGTGACAGAATTAGAATCAAGAAAATATAGCTTTTTTTGACGCCAAATGAATCAATCTATAGCTTTTTGTATTTTTTTTAATCGGGTAAACTTCGATGGAATAAAAAATGAAGATCCTTGCTGATTATATTAGTACCTGCAAAATTCAAGAACGGTGGCTTTTGATGGAGATATAAGGAAAAACATAACATAAGAAAGGAAGTTCAAGGTAGCCATCTTTCACCCTCCATTTTGCATAGGAGTGGACACGGAAAATGGGGTGACTTTTCATGTTTGTATTGCATCTGATAAAGAACTGATCCTCACATTTAGGCGCCAATTATGAATTCTCTATATATCAAATCATAAATTTACCGGGCTAAAAAGCAAATGGATGTTAATCAATTTTTAATACCTAATTAAATAGACAAAAGTTTGCCTATCTTCAGATTGAAAACGCCCCAATTCTGATTATTTTCGTAAATGAAAAAGTTTTAGATTACGATGCGATGGAGCTATTCGCGAAGTTTTAGGCAGATGTTCATAATTTAGTAGAAAGGGGTCTGTACCATAGATCAGAGTTGGGTGTTAGCAAGCAAATTTTTAACTAGCTAACGTACCACTAAAAAGCTAAAACTAGCGGTGCTAAATATGAAGTTGATTTAGCTTCTAACAGTTTTAGCGCAGTTAACTTTTCAGCTTTATTGTATTATTATTTTTTTTTATCTACGATATTTACAACTGTATTAAGAAAGAATACATCATGTAAATGTGATAACAGAAAATAAAAACATGAAAACACTTGTTGAGAAATTACCCACTGGTAGCACACTAAAAAAAAATGAATTTACAATAGAAGATCTCGAGGCCATCTTCTTTTCAGACACCTCGGAGGGTTATCAGGGATCGAATAGGAAGCGAGAGGGTTCGGATGGTTCTGAAGTTTATTATGGAAGGATAGGTATCTGGATTGGGCCAATTCGGAAATATAAGAAACATTAAGGTCTTTATGGATGATTTTATTAGTGACAAAGTAAGGAGCATTGAGGATTTTACGAAGGATTTTGGATTGTAAGGAATGGATGCGTGAGGAATTCGATGGCTTTGTGGACCACCAAATCTCAACTCAACTTTACAGCTAAATTAGCTTTTAGCGGAAACGAACAGCTAACTTTTAGCTTAAGCTAAATCCCTCCCCAACCCCTTCCCTCCCCCTAGCATCTTTTTGTAACTTTTCTGATTTAATATATAATATGGGTCGACTATTAGGTTTTGGGGAGAGCTTTTTATAAAAATAATGTCAGATTTGAGATAGTGCCCCCGGGCACCGACTTTTTGTAACTTTACGGTTTTAACCAATATCAGGGTCACCTATTATGTTTTGGGGGAGCTTTTTATGAAAAAGATGTCGGATTTTAGATAGATTTTCTTATTTAATCGATATATGGGTCGACTAAGAGGGTTTGGGGAGCGCTTTTTATGAAAAAAAAATGTCGGAATAGGGATTCGGCCAACGCGTATGATGTTTTTTAACTTTTCGGATTTAATTGATATTAAGGTCGAATTTAATACTTGTCGGGGGTGCCTTTAATGAGAATAATGTCTGATTAGGAATTCTGCAATCCCGTATCGTGTTTTTTTCAACTTTACGGATTTAATTGATATTAGGGTCAAATTTAATATTGTCGGGGCGGTCTCTATGAA